CCAAAGGCTAGACTTTTTTTTCTTCCTAGAGCCTGCTGGCTTTTTTGGGTTTGCTGTTCAAAAAAGAGTTTCTTGATGAGTTTTGTCTCCGAGGGATGTGTGGCTTACAAGGACTCTGAAGAGCATGGTAGCAAGAAGGTCTACCCACATGGCTAGGGGTTGGCTTAGCAGAAAAGGAATATTTTTGGTTCTTCATTGGCTTCTGCGCTTGGATGATGTGGGGCGCGTTGCTGTGCTCCTCTGCCCTGGTTTTCTAAAACAGCATCTTGCTGATCAGCTCTCTGCTCTTTAGGTATGGTAGCACAGTACAGGGTTCTTTGCACTTGAGCTTTCGATTCGGCATCTAAGCCTTGTACTGTGTTGGGATTTATGAATGTTTTACAGTGTTTTCACTGTTTCTTGCCTGTTTCATTCAGTTGCTTCTGATAAATGCTGAGGTGTTCTTGTTACTTGCATGCAGCAATTGAAGCTTGTGAACATTAAGGATAGGAAGGAAATATCCAATGATCACTGTTTTTTCTCACTTGAAAACATGTAGCTCTAATAGTGGAATAGTGAGGTTGCTAGAGAAAGGCACAGTTTTCTGAGCCAAAATGAAACAGTTTAATTTAGAAATGTAGCTTGCAGGGGGTCTTGAAAAACTACGGTAAGAGATTCTTGTGCTGGTTATGCCTTGGGATATTACTGGAATGCAATCGAATGATTATTTTACTCTCTTTGACACTTCTCCAAGAACATGTTTTGAGATTAAGCAAAGAAATCTTATCCTCCCCCTGCTGTATCCCCCAGCATTAGACAGTGAATTCCTCAAGAGGAGTATGACTTGGGGATAAAATGACAGGCAAAGAGCTAGTGTAATTTGAATGTGGATGTAGTAGGTGCTTCATTTATCAGAGATACACACGCATATTTTTGTATGTGTATCTGAATCTCATGTGTGAAATTAGGATGTTTGTGCATACTTAATGTGCCTTAAATTATACGGAACGGTCTGTTAGCCCAAGTCTAACAGCCAGATGGCTTTTGCTAGGGCGTTACTATATATTATATTGAGGAAGAGTGGAAGGAGAGGTTGAAATATGATGGCTTCCTGCAGCAAGACTTGTTCTAATTTCTTTTACATTCTTGATGTTTGTAGTGAATATTTTGCTAAGGTAATTTAGGATTGTACTCAAATCTAAAGAAATATAGGCAGGATCTTCTTGTATCTAATTTAAGTAGTTTTAAAATTTCATGTCTGTGTAAGTATAAGAATTCAAACCCATACAGTTATAAAGCGCCTGCCAGATAAGGTGAGATGAACAAAACTTTAAAAATAGTTCTCAGGCCAAGCAAAAATACAGATGAATGTACCTAGTCACGTGGAGAGGACGCTGAGAGGTTTATGAACTGTATGGTGAGGAAGGGTGGTTTTCCTGAAAGCTGCTGTTTGGAACGTAAGGGAAGCACACCTGAGGGCTCTGTGTTCAGACATCGGCTGTAGACCCCACAATACCATCACCCCCTCCCTTTTACCCTTTCCTCTATGTGGGTTTTCCTGCCTGTGCCTTCCTGCTCGTAGAGGCGTAGCGCTGCTGTGCGTAGCCCTGTGTTGCTATGTCTGCTCCTGGTGCTTTCTTAGCTTTGCTTTTTCGTTGCTTGTTTTGCCTCCTGTTCTTCAGGTTTTTGTGATTTTGCTTGCCTAAAAGCCTTTAACGCTTTCACAGAAACTTACGGTGTGAGGCAAAGGGAAACTGAGTTCTGTTACTTTTGTTAATTGTGAAAGATAGTGGAGTATTTCAGGATCTCATCAGTGTTACCTTGTTGCTGCTGCTGGGCCTTAATCACTTGATGAACTTTCCCATGAGTGGCAAAATATCTCCCTGCTTGTTCTTTTTCCTGGTGCTTGCGCTGGTTTCATTCTGGCAGGCTTGACTTATTGCTGGGTTTGGACTGTAACGCTATAGCAAAAGGGAGTGTCAAAAGCACATGAAAGGATGCAAAGAAGTTATAAAATTAAACTCCAAATCCTAAATCAAAACGATAGAAGTGTTTTCTGTTCTTTGATTTCTCACCCACCACTTCTTTGCCCTTATCCCAGAAATGTTAGACATGAGCTTGAAACTCTTCTGTTTCATGTACTGTTATATATGTAAAATGTTGGAATTCTTTTTAGATCAATTTCAGCTGGAGCAAACGAGAGCCCGCCATCAACTCCTTCCTTCTATATTGCAGGCCCACTCCCCGATGGATGGGAACAAGCTATGACCCAGGATGGAGAAATTTACTACATAAACCATAAGAACAAGACCACATCTTGGCTAGACCCAAGGCTTGACCCACGCTTTGGTAAAAGTTCATCTCACTTCAGAATTTTTGATTCGCTTCAGTTCACTCAGCTTTAATTTTGCAGGCATATTTTGAAAACTTCCAATAGTACCTTTAAACTATATTTTAATCTGAATTATAGAGACCTTCTTTAAATCATTATTTTAAAAAAATATGAAAAGGATTAGTGTATATCCTTTAGCGGTGTATGTCACCAAAGTTTTGAATGCTAGGGGCTGGTATTTTGGCATATGATCCATACAGTTCCCACAATTGGTGGCACTCAGAATTTACTTACGTAGAGGCAATTTTGGCCAAGCTCACTCTTCCCTTTAAAATTACAAAGCTTTACCATGGAAGAATTTTTAATTCCCAGACAAATAATTACTTTCCTTTGTGCTATCTTGAAGAGGGCGTTGTCAAATAATAGTAAATACACTTGAAACATATACCAGCTTATAATTCCAGCTTGTCACAGCAATGATCATGACAAAACTTTATTTTAAACAATGTGGAGAGAAACTATTAGTTTGGTTGTTTCTACTTTAATATTCATTTTGTGGGATAAAACTATGTAATATTGGAAATAGAAACAGTAAATTAGAGGTCACAGGCTCTAGATGTAAAGATTTAACAAAATAGAAGTGTTCTCATTTTTTGTCATGTTTTTGATCTACATGAAGGGCAGAGCTGCAAACATTTCAATAAAATACTGGCTCTGGTGACTGTGGATAACAATAGCTATCCGTAATATTATATCCATAATATCCATAATATTAAGAGACTCAAAACTAGTTTCTTAGCTTATCGAAGTGATCTGATGTATTTAAGGTGGTATTACAGCTTTAGTTTTGAATAAAGCCATGACCTTTGTGTGTGCGTTAGCTTTAATAGCTGTATTAATTTGCCCTTGATTTGTTTTCCCTATAACTTACTATTTTCAACTCCTTTGGATTTTAGTTATTTTTCCAGAGCCACGGAAAAAACAGTAGGGGTAAAAAAAAAAAAAAAAGAGATCATTGTGGTTTTCAGGCTTTAGTTTTGGCCTCGGTGCAACTAAATGAAAACAGTGTGCAGATCACTGAGTAGGTCAGGCTGAGGGGATACAAAGCCTTTGAAGCTTTACAGGGGTTGACCTAACAACAACTGTGGGCCCCTTTTGGGAGAGGCATTAACTCCATGAATGCCATATAAACACAGAGCTGCAAAACTAACAGTGGCTCTTCTGTTTTGTTTTGGGTTTTGTTGTTGTTGGGGGGGGGGGGCGTTTTTTGAAACGGTTGTTACAAATTTCAGCATTTTTCTTTCGGAGGCTTGAGCGCTTATTTTAAACATCTGTTTGCTCTTTACGGAGAGCACCACATTGTCACCCTCTCTTTATAAACCGCTCACCAGTTTGTAGACAGGTCGAACCACTGTGCAACTTGAGCCCGAAGGTGGGGCGTGTGCAGAAGGTTGTCAGCTTTGGCAAACATCCATGCCGGCTTTAACAGCAGCCAGAATAGCAGACCTGTTTGCGTGTCGCAAGAGGAGCGTGTGGGTAATTCGCAACCTCACAATTGCTTAGTGTGCGGATAAGGCCAAAAAGGAAGCAGTCATTTTGAAAATCAGTGCTGCGTTTTGCAGTTAGAAGAGGCAGGTCAATTATATTTACTTAAGTAGTCTCGCAGGGTATGTGTTTTTCTTTGTGTTACTTTAGAGTTTCCAGTGATGAGCTGGAATTAAACAGGAGCATGGAAAAGGCTTTAATTGTCAGAGGTCATGAGTGAGATGAGTCTTGTTTCTCAGAACTATTTTATACTCCTGTAAATAGTATGGTCTAACTGTAAGGGCAAAAGCTACTTGTCTTATGCCTACTGAAACTCCTATCAAATGTAAAGGTTGTGCAGTTAAATTCGAAGAAGTTAGAAACGTCCAAAAGACTGCATAAGGTTTTCTTGCTGCATAGCTTCCCTTTTTGGGCCCACTGTGTATGTGTATCCCAGACAGGCTTGAGCACATGCCAAGGCTCTTTATTTTGTGGTCGGACTTTTAATCTGTTCCAGACCTTTTCAGTCAAAGAGCTCAAGTGTAACTGAAAGGGGCAGGAAAGAAAAAAAAAAAAAAAAAAAAAAGCATGTGGGCTCTTGTGATCTGGAGTGACAGCAAATAGAGACAAGCTGCTAGCTGCTGTTGAGCTTGAAGGAGTTTTCCTTGAAATCTGAAGTTGTACACACTGTATTGTGGTTTATGTTTTTATCATTTGGGCCAAGAAAATATAAAGTGTTATTCCTGTTGCATTCTCACTTCTGACCTCCTTAAGTCACTTCAGTAAGGAAGAAAAAAAATCTGTTTGATAGAACTAAGATACTGAGCCTTGCATTTATTTACCATGTGGAGATCCTCAACAAATATGTGCTGTGTCCCTAAATAGCAGGTGAATGACTCAGAAATTTACCTTTCTGTACGTAGTATAGGTTGAAAATCCCGTAGGGTTTTTTTTTTTCCCCCGAGGATCTTTTCTGTTGCTTTAATATAAGGGCTTGATTTTCACTATTTTTTGACTACTAACACTTTCAGAAGGAAACGTAAGTGAAATACTCTACAATTTTGAAGATTTTGATTATTACAATGATGCTAATGTTAATTGAAAATGGAGAAATTAATTTCTTCTTTGATACTTCCATTTCCACCAATCTCAAGAACCACTGAGAACAGTAAAGCTGTTGAATGGTATGTGGAAACATCCTCTTCTATTCTAGTATTCAGAAATAGAAGGTTTTGAGAGTCTTTGTGCTTATTGCTTCTGCATTCACAGCTTCAGGGAGACAGTCGTATGTCTCTGTGTTCCTCCTTAGATGGAAGCTTGGTGTTCATCTTTATTTTCCTTAGTAGGTGTGCGTATACCCGCATATACATTTTTGAAAAAAAAAATAAAGTAGTGCTGGGAGTTTTCCATTAATGTGGCTAGAAAAGAGAAAGGAAGGAGGATCAGTTTGAAGAAATTGTTTCAGGCGGACACACCTACTGACTTACTTTACTTGGGAAGGGGGATTCAGGTATTGCATTCATGTGAAAATAAAAGGATGCAGTTAGGGTGGATTCCTTCTTGGAGCAGGCTTTTAAGACTAACGCATCAGATAAGAGTTCCTGTCAGAATACCTGGCTGTGGAGTAGGCTGGGTCTAAAACCTGAGTGCTGCAAGCTGAAGATAAGAACTTGGTTCCAAAACTCAGAACTAACGTCTTTGAAGAGGGCTTGAGGTCTTCAGCTGTACCACTTAAGCAGCAGTGGAGTCTTGCTGTGGCTCAGGTGATGCTCCTCCAAGTCTGCAGATTTGACTTTGGAGCAGTTCCGCTTTAGGACAATTTGCAAACTTTAAAATCCAGGAAAAACCTGGAAGTGTGAAAGGAGAGTCTTCTCATGCCAGACACAGGCAATCATAAAAGATGATGTGGGATCAAAGGAATGGGAGTAGGAAGGGGGGTCCTTAGGCCTGTGTCAGCAGGATTCTTGGCTAGTGGAGCATCTGGTACAAACATGCTCTCCTACCTTCTTAGTGCCTCTGCAGGCCTTCAAGTAAGGGGCTTCAAATCACTTTTCCTTTTCCTTGTTTCTTTCTTTTTAGATTATTTCTTTAAGGTAATCAGACTGCAGATTGAGCTCCTGGTTTTGAACCATTTTGTCTCTTACTGGCTTCTGCTGTTGTCCATTGGTCATTCTTCACAGATCCTGCTGTTTGTCTTAAGCCTTTCTGTTAAGTTAATATGTTTTCTGGATGGTCAGAGTACGTCTGGGTGGGAAGCAGGTCAGCTATGCTTTCTGAGCAGCCGGAGCTGGTGAAGTAGAACATCTGCTTTTCCTATAACATTAAATTTCCTAGAACCAGCTGAAGTTGGGAATTGTTCAAATTTATTGCTAAAGTTGCCAAGAATTGGGTTTTGTATCAAATACCGTTAAAGGGATTTTAACTGTTATTTTAAGTTTGCAGATGACGGGATTTGTTTTTGAAATGCAACTTAAAATAATTTGAAGATGAGATGGTGAATGTGAAATGGGAAAATACTAGAAGGTGGTGGTTTATTTATGTGTCTTTATTGGGTTAATAAAAGCCTTGTGATGAAATAGTAGTACTCCATTAGAGTAGTCAGACAAGTCTGTCTGCAGGAATTGGAGTAAAACAGACACTGTTTCAGTTTTCTTGTTATTTTATTCCAGACCTCGGTTTTATAGATTTGTTACTAGTGATCATACCAGTGTTACACATGCCCGGTCTTTTTCAAATGTTGGATCTGCCCTACGGAATATGAAACAGAAGGTGTGACCTCAGATTGAAATAATTTTCATGACTTTATTTGTATTGCTCCTGCTTAGAGATTACGTTAATGTTTTTTTGAAGTTCTGTATGAGTTTAGGACTGTGTTTAATATCATTATGGAAAGTTCCGTAGGAACTGTGTACAGTAACTGCTTGAACTGCACAAATAGGAAAAGGAATAAAAGTAGTTATAACGGTACAAGTGTAGAGAATGCACATCAGGATTTTCTGCTTCCTTTTTTTGTAAAGTGAGAACAATATACCTTTGAAACAACTTGTTAAGAAATACATCTGTAGGTTTCATTGAAACATGTATTTTTCATTTCCATTTAAAAAAAATTAAAATGTCAACCACACAACAAACTTGAAATGCACTTAAAACCTTAAGCTTTGGAGCATCTGCTAATTTTTAAGTGCTGGAAACTGAAAGGAAGTATTCCATAGTGTTCGCTTACCTCTCTAGCATGTTTATTACTCATTTCTTCAAATTAGTTTGTAGGAGCCTTGCCAGAGGCAGGTTGATGGACAAGATAGAACTAGAACCCTAGGCTGAAAAACTCTTTTTTGCCTTCGGTCAAAAAAACTCCAGACCTTATGTCTGGTCACAGTGGCATTTCAGATTTTTTAAGTTCCAGATCTGCGTTCCGTTTTTGCACAAAAGCAGAGCATGAGCCACAGTTGGTTTTGATCTGCAAATCCTGTGGCATATCCTCTTGACATGCTCT